ACTCTTGGTTTCAGCTCAGGTCATGGTCTTGCAGTTTTTTAAGTTTGAGCCCTGCATCAGGCTCTGCTAGTGCAGAGCCTGCTTGGGATTCTCTCTCTCTCCTTCTCTTTCTCTCTCTGCCCCTTCCCCACTTGAACTGTCTCTGTCTCTCTCAAAAGAAATAAGTAAACTTTAAAAATTTTTTAAAATAAATTTCTAAACATGTAAATGCTGGGTCAAACAATGTATACATTTTAAACTTTTTTTTAAACGTTTTTTTTTTTAATGTTTTGTTTATTTATTTCTAGGAGAGAGAGAGACAGCATGAACAGGGGAGGGTCAGAGAGAGAGGGAGTCACAGACTCTGAAACAGGCTCCAGGCTCTGAGCTGGCAGTCAGCACAGAGCCCGACGCGGGGCTCGAACCCACGAACCGCGAGATCATGACCTGAGCGAAAGTCAGACGCTTAACCGACTGAGCCACCCGGGCGCCCCTTAAACTTTTTAATAGATATAACCAGAATGCCTTCCATAGGGCTTGTACCAATTTCACTTCCAACAATAGGATAGAATACCCTGTTCCCCACCCCCAAACCCTTGTCAGCACCAAGTCACGAGGTATTATCAATCTTTCTTTCTTCTTTGCCAGCTTTGTAGCCTGGGGAACATCTTGTTTTTAAGTTTTGTTGTATAAAATTGGATACACAACAAAGACCACATGAGGCACATAGGTCTTACTAGACTACACTATGCTAGACTGTCTCAGTCACTTCAGGGCAGTCCAGTTAGGGGGCACAAAGCCTTTTGTTGATGTCTCAAGTCTGTTTCTCAAGCTTCCAGTTAAGAAGACATTTATACAGAAAGGGGCGTCTTGGGGTTCCTTGAGATTTGGGACACATTTTGGCAGCAGTGCTTTTCAAAATGTGTTGTTCTCTGCTCACGAGTCTGCCTCTCCACTGAATTAGGAGTTTCAAGGAGGCAGGGACTGTGTCTTAATCATTTTCTTTTCCAATATTTTTATTGTGATAAAATCCACATAACATAAAACTTACCCTCTTAACCACCTTTAAGTACATTCACACTGTTGTGCACCCATCAACACCATCTATCTCCAGAACTCTTTTGCAAAACTTTTTTTGTAAACCCTTGTAAAACTGAAGCTCTGTCCCAATTACACAATCGTTCCCTGTTCTCATCCCCAGCCCTTGGTCACCACCATACTAGTTTCTGAGTCTATGATTTCAACCACTATCAGTGGAATCATACAATATTTGTCATTTTGTGACTGGCTTATTTCACTCTTCATAATGTCCTCAAGGTTTATCCTTGCAGCATGTGTCAGAATTTCCTTCAAGTATTGTAAGAAATAAACATGTTGTTTTAAGCCACTAAGAGTATAGGGCTGTTTGTTACTGCATCATAACAAAGCCTATCCTGACCAGCACAGCAATAAATACCTACAAGAATAAGAATGTATCTAGCAAAGCTCCTAATGGCAGTTTGTCATAAACCTCTGTAGAGATAGCATGTGGACATTTTGGTTTCTCAACTAGGACACCATAAGTTCATGTTCCCTTCTTTTGAGTATGTTCACGCAGGAATTACAAGGTGATCACAACTTTTGATGAGCTATAGTATTGTGATGAAATCACAAATTGCCTAAATCCAGTAAATCTGAGAGGTAATAGGTTTTTAGTCTGATAAAAGATTGATTTGGTGGATATGTATGAGGAGAGGCTATTTGAGGGGGAATAGCTTCTGCAAAAGGATGGAGGAAGGCCCTCTTTCTTCACTTCAGATACCTGGTGGTCACTCAGCTCTACCCTGTCCACAGTCCATTCTGCTCTCTCACTCTATAGGCCAGTTCACAGTGCAGGCACTCTGCACTCAGCCAATTTTAGAAATGCTGCTGTTCATTACAGCAGGCATAAATTTTTCTCCACAAACTCACAGGTGCAAAAAATATTACTTTATTTCTATACATCAAATTAACTGGTCCTCAGCTCCCTGTCACTTCTGGGGAAAATATTCTACCTCAGCCATCTTGAGGGTGGACATCCTTTTCTCTAGAATTAAATGTGAATTCAGGGAACTCTGTGGCTCCCAGCACAAGGCAGAAGAGTCTCCAGTTCCTATGATCAGTGACGAGAAGCTCATAATCTGAGCTGACAAAGACAAAAGTTCTACACCAAACATGAGGACACTTCCCCATAATTCAAGGCCATGACTGTCTCCAACATTCATACATTAGATCCCTCCAGAGCTTGTATCACTCCTGGAAAAGCTGGGTGCAGGGTGCAAGTCTACATCACTAAAAGAAAGAAACCATCCCCATCCTCACCTCAGGGAAGGGCCACTCCTGCCTCCTCATTTCTTCTAAAGGAAGGAACAAGAGCTTACCTATCATGCACAATTACATGTGCACCTGAGAATGGGAGCCAAGTCCTTGCATTCTTGGGCTTGCAAAGGAGAATTCTAGTGAACAAATCCATGTGGGACTGACTAGAACACCTTAGCTGACAGATACAAAGTATGCCTACCAAGGCTTGAGGCCTGGACTTTCCCCATGAGTTCTCTGCCTCAGCCACTAATCAGAAAGGTCTAATCAGCTTCCTCCTCAACCCTTAACCCTCAGAGAACTCCTGGAGTGAACCCAGTCATGAAAGGATTTTATTCCCAGCCTCAACTCAAAGTCCTTGCTTGAACTTGAGGGTGGGACATGGGTCTTTGGGTCCAGTACCAGTTGCTGATTCCTCCTGCCCCAGGGCTCCAACTGCAGGTGGTGAAAGCCCTTAGCTTGGGGTCTGCCAAGCCTCAGAGTCTGCGAGAGGGCTGGCAACTCTGACGTAAATGGGGAGTACCACACCCGCCAGGGGGCAAGTCTGGGATTCACCTAAACCCCAGGCCCAATGGGCCTAGGGAAAATTCTAGTCCCATGGCTGTGAGTCTTTGAAAAAGAGGCAGAAAGTTCTTGGCTTGCACTAATTTCTCCACAGAGCCTGGAGCAGCCCCCTGAAACTGATCTCTTATCTGTACCCATCCAACCATACCTGGCTTCATCTAATAACCTAGGGGAGCTAGATCATTCTGTTGTTTGCCTTTCCCTACCTCAACCAGGACCTGGTGTTTTATGTCAATCCAGATGGAACTCTCTGAAACCACATCCACTATCTACTGGCTACACAAATTGCCATGTCACACAGAGGCCTGTCCCTAGACCCCACCAGGGGTCTGCATTTATTTTTCTTAGTTTTTATTTTTATTAATCCTTTTTTATGTTTATTTTTGCAAGAGAGAGAGAGAAAGCAAGCGGGGGAGGAGCAGAAAAGAGGGAGAGAGAGGATCTCTGTGCTAAACACCACAGAGCCTGAAGTGGGGCTCACACTCACCAACCATGAGATCATGACTTGAGCCAAAATTCGTCGCATAATGAACAGAGCCAGGCACCTCAGGGGTCCACATTTAAAAACTGTCCAACTATTTCTTGTTATTTTTATTGTTAGTTTCTCCTTCAGTTAGTGAAGATGATTTTTAAAAATTCTAGTCTTGCCTCTGCTACAACCAAAAAGGCCAGTCTTTTTACACATATAAATCTGTTTTTTTAAGTTTATTTATTTTGCAAGAGAGAAAGAGAGAGAGAGAGCTTGCAGGAAGGGCAGAGAGAGGAGAGAGAATCTCAAGCAGGCTCTCCATTGTCAGCACAGAGCCTGATGCAGAGCTGGAACTCAGTGATATCATGACCTGAGGCAAAACCAAGAGTCAGACTCTTAACTGACTGAGCCACTCAGGTGCCCCAAAAAGGCCAGTCTTATCCCCACACCCTTGAGACACAGTCTGCGTGCAGTTGACCAAGAACTGTCAGTAGTAGCCATGACTGCCCCCTCAGACAGGGACACAGTAGCCACGAGGATCAGGGTCCAGCAGATACCAAAAGGATCCCTTTCTTGCCATCACTGAGACACCAGTGACGCTGTGGGCTGCTGGAGAAAACGAGGGCACCTGGAAAAGGAAGTGAGTCTGCCCTCTGCTGGGTTAGGGCCAGTGGTGTGCCGGAGCTCACTTGGCTTTGTGAGAGCCGACAGCAAGCATCCCTCTCTGCCTCTACTTCCAGTGAGGCCATGTGGGTAGCAGCGTACCACTGGTTAGGAGTGATTAAGATGAGAATCATGATTTATAGACCAGGAGCCAGAGCCAAAAGCAGAGGGGAATTTAAGAGTGAGGGCCAGAGAGTGGGCAATCTTTGGAGTCAGGAGGTAAACACAAACACAAGGCTCAATCCTCTCCCTCCCCATGGGTGCTTTAATGTGTGAAACCAGGCAGGTCTCTGGTTTCCAGAATCCTCACAAGTCTCCCTGCAGGAACCCTGCACCCTTCTTGAGCCCCCTTACCCACAGACAGATCCTCTCCCTTCCCACACAGCTAAAAGATCATGCAGTTATTCACACTATTTCTTTGGGAGTTGGCTCCACACTCGTGCTATCACTCATTCTTGGGGCTTGAACTTTACACCAAGAGGTAACTCTTTTCTCTTTGTGCCTAGTTCCCTCTTCTTCACTTTTTCATACATTTCTCCTCTCATTTCCCCCCAACCACAGGCACTGTCCAAGGACCAAATGCCCCAAATCCATTGTGATCTGATCCCCCTCCTCCTCCCAGAGACCCCAGGCCCTTCTGACATCTCCTCACCTTTCCTCCTCCCCCCAAAATAGAATAAGCTTATAACCTCAAGAGAATAAACCCAAGAACACAAAAACTTCTTCCATTCTCATATAGGACTAATAAGGTCACTAAGCTCAGGCACATCTGATTATAAAAACTACAGGTCCTGGCTCCCAAAACCTGGACACCAGCATCTAAGACCTGGCCTGAGATGATCCAGGACAAGAGGTCTGTGTAAGGCAATGATCCTTCTTCCATAGAATGGAGCTTAAAGTGGCGGCATGTGTCATGGTTATCATATGGGTAAGCTATATGATTATGGCATGATTGGTCAACATTTATAATAACAACACCTACTGGCATAGATAGTGCTTTATTGTTTACATGTTTTCCCATTTAATCCTTGCAGCAACCCTGAGGTAGGTATTATTATCCCCACTTTACACATGAGTAAACCAATGTTCCGACATTAGATTACTTGTTGAAAATCATACTTATTAGTGGCAAAGCCACTGATAATCCCAAACCCAAGGGGACTCTTTTGAGGAGTTCACAGGCTGCTGCCAAGGAAAGTAGAGTTGAAACTTCAACTGGGAAGGGCTGAATCATTCACTGGAGCTCAAGGGGGTCCCCCACCAGGGATGAACGAGGCACATACACAGGCCAAGACCAGGACTGAGCAGGAGAAGCCTAGAGCATCTGGGAGCTGTGAAGCAGGAAGAGGTCTTCATGTTTGGTAGGAGTTGACAGTATCTTCAAATACACACAAGAGCCCAGCTTCCAGGGACGGGAGAACAGGAGGGAGTCCTGTGGCTCCAAGTCCAGGGGCTGGCCACAGGGAAGGGATGGTGGGGCAGGAAGAGCTGCCGCTGTGTGGCACCCCCGCAGCTTGGCCAATGTGTGGCGACCTCGAGGTGTGGTCCTTTAACTTTGTTAAGGCCTTGAGAATCTGATGAAAGCCATAACCCCCCATCCCCATAAAAACACAGACTCACAGGTACAGACAACATTTTGCATACGATTTCAGGGAGTCCACAGACCCCAGGTGGAGAACTTCTGATTTAGGGCAAGGGTGTCAACCTGAGTAAAGTCACTGATACACACTTATTTTTCTGCAACTTCTATTTCCTATGAAAATTCCCCTTTTGTTGTCCCTTAACACTTAGAATGTTGTGAAATTTTTTTAATGAGAGCTAAAGAAGGGGGTCCAGCCTGTACTCCAGCCAGAGAAAGAACAGCTGTGTGTGGCAGTGGTGGCAGCCAGGAGGCAAAAACAAAGAGAAAGATGGGGTCACATGTACCGCTGTCCTTCCCACCCAGAAGGTCACTTGGGGAGTTTTTCTCTACTCAAGAGAAGGGTTCTAGGAGGTGATAGGAACAGGGTGGTGGTTTATTTCCTTTTAGAAAGGAAAGCCATTCCTTCACTGGCTGCAGGGTCTGAAGTTCGGCAGGCAGTGCCTCCATTCCCACCTTCCCCCTCCTGACCCTTCATGAGCACACCTGAGCACTGGCCCAGTCATTCATGCACATGTGGCCAGGCCTCCAACGAACACCTGTGTATTTACACACACTCTTTTACAGAATAAGGAAAACTGGGTTAGGGGACATCTCAGGGCAGATATTTCATGTTGCGACATGGGGATCATGCACTCCCCACAGAGAATCTGATAAACTAAAGAGAATGAACAAAAACACTTAATGCACACTAGCCCCACACCACCTCTAGGGGGTCTTCCTTCAGGCCAGGGCCCACCAGAAGGCAAAGTCATAGCCATGTTCTGTTCCTCATCCCCAAACTAGTGGGCCAAAGATGGGGGGCCAAGGCTGAAGGGGTCGCAGCAGTTCAGAGGGCAGGCGTGGGAAAAGTCCTAATTCGGTGGAGACTGCAGCTCTGATCTCGCATGGCAATCAGGAAATCAAGCACAGGCTTGGACCAGAGCCCAGCCAGGCCCAGAGTGGGCAGACACAAAGTCTAAGTGATTACACAAAGACCAAAAGAGAGCTCAGAGGCCATGATGGTCTTCCAGGCCCACCACCCCCAACATCTTAATGGTCATTCCCCTGCAGGGGCCACCTGTGCGCTAGCCATCATTTGCCCTAGATGGATGTTTCATCACATGTAGCTAGAGGAGCCCCGGTGAGCCGGATGTGGGCTGGGCTTGGGCAAGGATCAAGCAAGAAGGGTGGAGGGAAGCCGCCAAAGCCACTGCCCCTCTTGGCCAGGGCCAGGGGCAGCCGCTCATCTTCAGGAGAAGGAGAGGGAGGGTCCTGGCTGTAGCTCGTGGTCCCAGATGGTGGGGCCCCTAGGTCCAAGCCCACCTTGTCTCTGGCCAGAAGTTCTCTCTGTCGCTGTCGCTGCTGACGCCGACCAATCAGAAGGAGAGTCAGGGATGCTGCAAGAACCCCCAGGACAAAGCCAGCCAGTCCCGCCCCTACTGTGTGGGCCTGACTTGGGGGGCCTCGCTGGCTGCCCCATACCAGGCTGTACGCAGCCACCACACGGGCTGCCCCACCCTCCTGACATTCACAGGCATAAGCCCCCATGGCTCCTGGGGTTACCACCACCTCCAGCCCATCCCGCCGGGGGGTAAGTGCAGTCACTCCACTGGGCTGGTGCCACACACAGGATGCCCATGCTGAACTTGGGGAACATGGTAAGACCACATGCGCAGCTGTAGCCACAGGAACTTCAAACACTACTGGGCGTTCTGCAGAGAGACAGCAAAGGCACAAAAGGTGGTTTTGCTACCAGCTGGAATGTAATGCAGAGAAATGTGGCATGATATCAGATATAAGGGACCATGAGGAGAAAGATAAAAAGTAGGGCCATGGGTCACCTGCTGCCAAATCTTCCAATTTTTAACGTGGGTCCGAAATGGACAACATTCTAGCCCATTTTCACCCACTCCACCCACATTACCCTAAGTCATACAGACCTCCGGGCTCTTTGGGACACAAAGAAGAGACATCTGCTGACTCTATGTCTTGAACCAGCCTGTATAGAAGAGAATACTTGGTAAATCCAGTGTCAACACCTCCTTCTACCTTCTTCAGTACCACTGAACATTCAATTACCGAACATTATGGCTCCCACCATCTCATAAATCACTCCTGAAACTATCAATCAACATCCTCTTCATTAATAAAATTTTCCCCGATACCCCTTTTACTCATGATGCTTGCCACATCCAATTCGACACATATTTCCAACAGACCACAGAGAATTAAATTTGCACTAGGTGTGCTGGAAAAGTGTTTGGAGGGTGCTTTAAAAAAACACATAGGAACCTCTAAGAAATGTATCTGGGTATCCACAACTACAAGATTTCTCTGGGGGGAAAATCCATAAAAACGACAGTTAACTTTTTTTCTGTTAAGACAGAAAACTTCTTTTCTATAAAAGTTAATCAAAATTCTGCGAGGGACATGGTTTGTGAGTTCAAGCTCTGAGTTGGGCTCTTTGCACAACTCAGAGCCTGGAGTCTGCTTCAGATCCTGTGTCTCCCTCTCTCTCTGCCAGCGCCACCTCCCCTCAAAAATAAACATTTAAAAATTCTGTGAGGGTCAGTGAGATGACTTTGTTTCATAAAAGCTGCTTATCTCTACGTAGGATCATTCTTTCTCCAACAGCTGTTGACATCTATTAGCCTCTAATGGATCTGTTTCAAACAACACAAGCCTGGCACTTCCAGGATGTGGGTGGACTGTGTCTGACAGAGGGACAGCAGAACAGACTGCTCACTCTGAAAATCCTGTCACCACTCCCCAGAGGGAGACCCTCTATCAACCTATCAGTGGAGATCAAGTTCTAACTGAACACACAAAAGCCTCAACCAAAGACAGGCTCCATTTGAGTATGAACACACATGAGTATGAACTTCAAAATGAATTAAGGTGCCTGAAATGAGCTCCAAGACTGGTATGAATACATTACAGCCTTCTAGATAAAGTCAAGGTCACTTGGTCTGGCTGAGAGTGGGGAACATGGGAGGCCATATGTGGACTGCAGCTACAGGAACTTCATAGTCTTTCTCGCTTTTAGAAGTTGAGGTTTGGAGCATAAAGTGCATACAAGCACCAACTTGGTAATTTCTTATAGCACCAAGAAATATACTAGCGTATACACATACCACACACACACCCATGTTATATCTTAAGGGGACCCTGAGGCTCAAGTACACAGTATACCCCAAAACAATGAAATTCTCATTTTAATGGATATTAAAACAATAAAGCACTTGCCTTGTCTTAGACATTTAAAAGTCCTACCAAGAGAAACTACCAGATCAAAGTTCTTAATGAAAAAAACATCCCCAAAACAAGAACTTTTACTTCTAAAATACTGGTAACCTATGGTTCAGTAATATGTACAAATATAGTATAGATTAACTGGGCTTCAAAACAGGAAATCTCAAAGTCGGTTTGGAAAAAATACTTTCCAAGCAATCAATTAAAAATGTTTCATTAAAGGGAACGTCATTTAAAAATTAGGTCTTTGGATGGCTCAGTTGGTTAAGCCTCCGACTTCAGCTCAGGTCATGATCTCAGAGTTTGTGAGTTCAAGCCCCATGTTGGGCTCTGTACTGACAATTCAGAGGCTGGAGCCTCCTTTGGATTCTGTGTTGCCCTCTCTCTCTGCCCCTCCCCTGCTTGTGCTCTGTCTTTCTCTAAAAGTATAAATAAACATTAAAGAAAAGTAAAAGTCTCATGGACCACATCAATTGGGACACTTGGTGACTCAGTCAGTTAAGAGCCCAACTCTTGATTTCAGCCTAGGTCATAATCTCACAGTTTGTGGATCCAGCCCCATGTTGGGCTCTGTGCTGACAGCATGGAATCTGCTTAGGATTCTCTGTCTCCCTCTCTCTCTGCTCCTCCCACACAGGCATTCTCTCTCTCAAAAATAAATAAGCATTAATGCAAAGAGAAACACCTCAATCAATTGCAATTGATGGATGGTATTTAGATCTTAAGCAATTATTTTTAAGTATACCTACTTGAGAAAATTGGAACATTGATGAGATGTTTCATGACATTAAGTTTATGGTATTATAATGATAATATGCTTATTTTTTTAATTCCTTCTGTGTTAAAGACATATTCTGTAAGATACACAGATAAAGTGACATTATATATGAGATTTGCTGTAAAATAACTGGGAGTGAGTGAGGGTATTGATGAAGCAAGATTGCCCAAAGAATGGATAGCTGTGGAAGCTGAGCAATGGATGATGGGAATTCATGATGTTATTCTATTTTTGAATGTTTGAAATTCCCAATAGTAAAATGTTTTTAAGAGAGTCCTTATCTGGTAGAAATACATATTGAAATATTTTATGAATATGATGTCAGGGATTTGCTTCAATGTGCCATGTGATTTTAAGCTAACTGCTAAGGGGGAAATAGATGGTAGGATGTTCCAATGGTCAAAAGGAGATCAATCAAGGGGTTATTAGAATAATCCAGTCAAGAAGTGATGATGGCTTAGACTAGGGTGTTAGTGGCAGAGATGGAGAGAAGTGAGTATGGACCAAGGAAATCACAGGTGGAGCTAGAGTATAAATTGCAATACAGTTTGACTGGAGCAACTGGATGGATGGAGGTCCCATTCTCAAGATGAGGAAAACCACAGGAGCAGCATGTGAAGGAAAGGGGAAACAACAGTGCATGCTAAGACTTGCTAAGCTTGAGTTGCTTGTGAAGCATCCAAAAGGAAGATCAAGTAGGCGGTTAGATAGGGAGTTCTGTAGCTCAACTAAAGACACATCCGTGGTTGTCACTGGCACTCAGGCAGTGTTGAAGATAATGGGAATGAAATCACCTAGAAAGAGTGTGGAAGTGTAAAGAGAAGGACTGAACCCTGAGGAATACCAACATTCAGGAGTGGAATAGAAAAGAAATCAGTAAGGGAGATAGATGGTAGGAGAGGGAGGAAGCCCAGGAAACTGCAGAGTCATAGAAGGCACAAGGTTCGAGTAGCATACAGAATGAAAGAAGGAGCAGTCAACTGCGGAAACACTTCTGAGAGCTCTTGTAAAATGAAAACTGAGAAGTGTGTGGCAATCTGGAGGTCAATCAAGGTCAGGGCAAGAGGCAAGAACATTGATGAGACAGCACCAAGATGGACGGATGCATGAATCAGTATGGACTGACACATGGACACACAAATGACACAAACAGAACACACACGCGCGCGCGCTCGCAGGTGAGGCAGCATTAACAGATAAGAAACAGACATAAACATGTGGATGGCCCAGTGCTCTAGGACAGCAGGCAGGAGACTTGTGCAGCGACACTCACCCTCCGTGCTCCCCAGCATGGGCCACACACGCATCCAGCCGGAAGCTCCAGGCACAGACAGGGTCTTGGGCCAGGATGCACTCTGAGCAGCTCTGGAGACGGCCACAGTTGGTTGTGTTCACTTGTGTCACCTCAGTATGGGAGCCCACCAGGAGCCAGTTCTACACAAAAGGAGGGAGGAAGAAGAACATGCCTGATCTCCCAGACCTCAGGGTAGCAAACTGGCTCTGGGCTCAGATGCTCCCCCTCCCCCCAGCAAACTCCCCAAAATCTACAACTCACTTTGTACAATTTCATGCTCTCAATTGGCTGTGGCTCAGGGAATAAGGCCAGATCCTCCAGGACGCTGAGCTGGGGTCCAATCTGCACTGCTCGGTGGAGGTGTCCATCCTCTAGGAAGCAGGCAAGGGGCAAGACACAATGACAGAGCTACACCTGTGCCTGGGACTCTGATACCTGTATGTAAGGGGCTTTCTCTGTGACAGAAGCATGTGTGTGCACCAGATGGGCAACTCGCCTGACTATGAAACATACCTGTCCCCAGGTAGAGCACATCGTACTCTTTCCCTGAGAGGCTGGTCACCCTGTGGGCCACAATTCTGAGATAGGCTATATCTGTAGTGACGAGCAGGGGATGCCCATCAGTGGGAAATACCTGCCTGGGACTCTGATACCTGTATGTAAGGGGCTTTCTCTGTGACAGAAGCATGTGTGTGCACCAGATGGGCAACTCGCCTGACTATGAAACATACCTGTCCCCAGGTAGAGCACATCGTACTCTTTCCCTGAGAGGCTGGTCACCCTGTGGGCCACAATTCTGAGATAGGCTGTATCTGTAGTGACGAGCAGGGGATGCCCATCAGTGGGAAATACCGGCCTGTCCATGAGTGGGTGGTCCCGGATGAAGGTGAGCACACGGTCAGGCAGGGAGAGTGATGACCCAAACTGCTGGAGCTTCATGTTGTTGGCAATGCACTGGAGGAAACACAGGATGGGTGACAGCTTCCCAGGGGCCAGGAAATGTCCATGGTGCTTAGTTGGGCCCTTTCTCTCATGCAGCAATTCAGGTGTGAAGGGAGGAGATGCCCCAGTCCCCTCACCTCTCCAGGTCTGGGCTGGGGTACGTCATTGTCCATGACAGGCATCCCCCTGTTGCAGTCATGTTTCAGCTCTCTGAAGGGACCATTCAGCACTGTCCGAATGTCTTGTGGTAGGAAGGCACAGAGAGCAGAGATGGCAGCCCCCTCCCTGTGAGAGCCACAGGTTGGAACCACATATCTATAGGGAACTAGGGATCAGCAATTCATCCCAAAATGACCCATGAGAAATTCAGGGACAGTGACCCAGGGAGCCATGCAGCCTGCTCCAGGTCAGAGGGAACAGGGCTCCAGGGAGAGCCCACCCACTCTGGAGCAGACAGCACTGATGCTGCACCCATCCTCATATCTCTCCCACCCTGTAGGTCTCCTCCACACCAGGACCCCCTCACCACTGGGAGGAAAAGATGCCATAAAAGATGAGGGCCCCCGATCCATGCTCAGGTCGAAGAATGGCCACGTCCTGCAGGACACTGGAGGCCCGGCCATGCTCAGGCCCTGGACATAGCAGGTCAGCTTTCAGAAATGTCGTCCATCTGTGCTGGAGGGTCTTCCGGCCCCCAAGGTCCCCCTGAGGTGACAAGTACATGGGAAGTTCTCCTTAGAAGACCAACATTGAGGGAGGCATGTGGACACCAATATAGGTTTCTCCTGTCTTCAGGGCAGACACAGACAGATGGGAAGGCAGATGCACAGAAATGCAAGGATGAAGATACAGAGCACTCCAAGGGATAATGAGATATGGAGTGGAAAAGGTCACAATAACAATGATGCTAAATTCATTGTGCACTTTTGAAATAGCGTCCTACATGCTTTACATAAGTTACCTCATTTGGTCCTCAAAACAACCCTTATAGCTAGAGGTCATTAATACTCTATCTTACAGAGAGGTTCAAAGATGCTAATGAACCTGCCTAGAGTCACAGAGGCAGGAACTGGTGGAGCTAGGACTTGAACTCATTAACCCCGCCACTAGTCCACCTCCTGGGGACAGTGTGTCACAATGGTAAGTATGGGGGTGAAAAGTCAGAGCCCTTTCCCCACACCCCCCAACTCCCAGAAAAGAAGCCAAAGCAGAGGGGAAAAAGGAAACAGAGGAGAGATGCAAAGACAGAGGCCCAGAAAGGAAAAGACAAAAGGACAGAGCAGACGATAAAAGACAGACAGTCAGGATGGTGGTCTTACCGCACATACACGGGCCACCCGTGGGACCTTAATGCGCTCATATGAGTCCAATGCTCGGGAAGTCTCCGTAAAGAAGAAGTAGATCTCATCATCTCCATCTTCATCCCCCCACTCGGCTGGGCTCAAGGCCACGGCTGCAACAAAGGCTGGGGCTGGGGAGACCAGTGGCTTCAGATACCACAGACACAGCCTGGGGCCACCCGGCCTCAGCCAGCTCTGTCCCCAGTGCACCCCACCCCCTCTCCCCACCGTTAAGCCAGGATGGCAAGGTCTCTGTCCGAATCCAGTCCTCAGCACGACCCACAGCCCGGGAGATAATTGGCTCCGTCCCCAGGTAGTTTTTCACAGTAGCAGCATAGAGGACCCCCCCTGCAGGGCGACAGGGAGGAGATGAGCTGTCAGAGATGAATGAGGGAAGCAAAAGGGGTTGTAGGAAGCACAGGGTATAAAGCAGGGGCAGAAACCCTCAGGAGCTGAGTGCCCCTGACAGGGCAGGCACAGCTAAGCACCTGACAGGCAATATCTCAATTAAAATGCACATAGACATAAAGTGCTCTGGGGCAGTAAAGGCTACCAGCGTTAAGGGAAACCTGTTGGAATGTTAATGTGCAGGAAGCAGAATAAAGGTTGCCTTTGTGCAAATCAGGCTTTTTTTGTCTGTCTGTTTGTTGCTGTCATCACTGTTTTCGGGATGCTTCTATCCCATAATGTACTAATTATACGTGACTCTCCAGGAACGAGGTTTGCTTTGCAGCATGCCCAGTCTTACTTCCGCTCTTCCACTCTGGTAAATGTCTGACGGAACTAGTGTTCTTTCTGATTGGGGGGTGAACACTGCTCTGGAATAAATCACAGCTTTAGGGTATGTATACCAGCATCACTTCGGGAATTGATCAAAACACAGATTCCTAGGCCCTGCGCCCAGCAATTCTACTCAGTAGAGTTAGGGGATGGCCCAAGAACTAAACTCCAAACAAGCAGTTGAAGTTACCCTAATATGTAACCTCACTTGGAGAACCTCACTTGGAGAAACAGCAGCCTGGGGGATTAATGAATGCTGTGCGGCCAGCCAGAGGGAGCAATGAGGAATCGGCTCCTCTCTCCTGGTACAGTGCAGGGGCAGAGGCGCCCTACAGCTAGTAGGGGCTGGAGAGGAGAGAAATCACAGACACTCTGCAGGAAAGGGAGGTGCAGCTCTGTGGGCGGAATGTGAAACAGCCATAGTCACCCTGTAACACAGAGAAGGCTCAGACAGACTAAGAGAAAATTGCTCTGGGTAGTAGAAGGTCATGACCCCCTGGAGGAGTTTCGAGTATCACAGGAATTTTGGATGGGACAGAGTGGCATTTTCCTTCACAACCTACTACATAGGAGCCACTGTGCCAGGTACTAAGCATGTCGCTGCCCCCTAGAGCCCCCATTTGAGTCTGGAAGACAAACATGTGATCAGATTCCAGGAGGCATGACTAACAAATGTGGAGGGGAACACAGAGGAGAACCCAGCCACATCTAACTAGGGGAACAGCATCCAAGAGGTGTCTCTGAGCTGGGACTGAGGAATGAGCAATCTGCCAGGTGGAGGGACTTCAGGGGGAAAGACGGACAGGTGAGGACAAGAGAAGCCATATTCAGGAATGTGGGCACTCCCTGTGGCTGCAGCTCTGGCGGGGCCCAGGGGATGGCTAGCCTAGTGAGCAGAGATGAAGCTGCAGGTGAAAAGCTGAGCACCTAATTGTAAGAATCTGGTCTGCCATGACAGGCAACATGGACTTTATCCTCTAGGGCAGAGCACAGCTGCAGGATTTCTTGAAGAGAGTGACATAATCAGTTTTGGGTTTTAAGATGACAGTGCTAGTTAAAAGGCCATTCACACAATCCAGGCAAGAGTGCAGGGCCAGTACTAAGGTAGTAGCTGAGGGTGGATTAAAGGGCTGGACTGGGAGATATTTCTGAGGCAGAATCCATTAAAAAGATTTAAAAATCAATTGAATATGAGATGTGGAAGAATGGAACAAAATAATGTCTTTAAGGTCTCCAGCTTCTAAGATGGATGACAGCACAGGGTGATACTATGAGCAAAGCCAGAAAATGATAGGAGAAGGCCCATAAAGGAGGTAGTTGGAGAGGAAGCGACTTTCGATGTAGAAATGTGCTAAGGTTGCAGTCCTCTCAGGACATCTGATCAAAGATCCTGGAAGGGGATCAAACAGAAGGGTCTAGGCCACAGGGACAGTCGAATCGGGCTGAGGCCATGCCATGAATGTGATGGCCAAGGAGGAAGTGAAAGTGAGAAGAGATCCCTGGGAATACCACCATTTAAGGGGAGAAGCTACATGAAGACAACCAGAACAATCAAGTCAGAGAGGGGCTAGAGAAGCAAGTGAGGCTGGTGTGCTGGACACCAGTGCATGGAACGCCCAGCAAGAGCTATGGGGGCTCATGCACCTTGAAGGAAGCAGTTGCGAGTAGGGCCACTCGGGGGGAAGCACAATCATCCTAGGGTCACTGGTGCTTGAGCAAAGTTGAATGTCTCAGGCATTGGAAAAATATCCCTATTTTCAAAAATACTTTATACAAAGCAAGAAAGGGTTGGAAACCTTCTGAGGGCAGCAGCAGAGGGTTAGAAATCCCCTTGTGGGGTGGGGAGTGGAGACTATTCTAACGCTTGAGACTGTGAAAAAGGCTTGGCTCAGGACCGTAAATACTTATTAGTATGATCTTGGGCAAATTAGCTTTAGGTACCTCAAACATAGCATGGAGATGATACGGCCCTCCACTCAGTGGTGCTGAGGGTAAAATGCGACACAAACAGAGCCACACATAGGCCTGGCATGTAGCCAGCATTCAGTATGTGTGAGCTGTGGCTCCTTATGTGGGCTACTAAATGGCACCCCATTCCCTCCCAGAGCATTTCAGGAAGGAGAAAAACAGGTTAGGGACATAGTTTGGCAGCAGTTGGAGGGGCAAATGAGCCAATTTTCTGTACTTCCAAGGTGGGCGGGGGGGGGGGGGGGGGGAGTTGATACAGAAGCCAGAGTTACAGTGAAAAATCTCCCTAGGAGCATTGTACATAAAACACTCTAAAACCAAAACGTTGGCAGAAGCTGTGTTATGGATGTCCTGAGAATTGAGGGAGATGTGTGGAAGAGACAGTTAAGAGAATTTAGGAGCACGATTTGGTATGGTGGGGGGAGCAACAATCATAAATGATTTGCAGGGACTCAGCCGCAGATGGAGGTAAAAGGCCAAAGTTCCTAAGGGATCAAGAGGGGCATTCAGCAACTCTGGAGCCTAGAATTGCAGAAGAGCACATTCACTCAGAGAGAAAGAGCAGAAGGTTACTGACACTAAGGGACAGCAGGAGGGATCAGACACTTTGGATGGAAGTAGGAGGGTTCCAGGTGTTCTAGGAATATCAAGGAGCTTGAAACAGTCTTACACACACATACACAAACACACACCCTGAGGAGAAGGAACAGCAGCCACCAGTCATAAGGACAGGAGTCCACAGGAGGACACAGCTCATGCCCTAGATTCTCCAGGACAGTCTCAATTTCAAATATTCTTTTGGACTGCTAAATATCCCTATACATGCAATTGTGGCAAGTTAGTACTGAATGAATCAATTCAGTAAACATTAAAACACACATTTGAGTGATGCCCATAGTGCTGAATTTGGTGAGCAAGCTGGTCAGAAAATAAACACCAGGTATCATATGACCCTATTAAAAAAATATATGTGTATGTATATATGTGTGTGTGTGTGTGTGTGTGTGTGTATATATATATATATATATGCCTGCAGATATAGGCAAGATTGGAAGGAGCCATAATTCTACAGTGTTAATGATATTTATTTCTGACCAATGGAATTACATTGATTTTTATTTTCTCCTCTCCACTTTTTTCTATTCACTCAATATTTTTTGTAGTTAACATCTTTTACTTTTATAACTCAAAAAATTAGATATTTTCATTTTGGAAATAGTGGGGGTGAAGCTCCAAAAAAAGAATCACAGCCAAAGAAACATCACAGTCGTGTGTGGAAACAGATCCCTATTTGCCCAAGCATAAAGCCTGTGACATCGGCCTCCCAGGCGTGTTAGCAACCAACCACTGACAGCCTAGAATGTCGCCATGGCAGCGTCTCCCTACACCCTGGGGGTTCAAATTTTCACTCCGGTATCAAAATGGCCACTTCTAAAGAAGATTTACAATAGGAATAATCATTCATTAACTTATAAAAAAAGGATTTTAAACATGCTCTGGCCTTCCTTCCTCCACTCCCTTCTCTTCTCATTGTCAGAGCTTTGCAGGGCAGATAGCTGCTACCCTAATATTCTCCCTTTCCTTATCTAAGGATTAGGCCAGGTGGATCTTTTTTTTTTTTTTATAACAGCCTATAATGAGGACATAATTAGATAGTTGGAGATGCAGTGTTTATTCTACCTTTTCCTCTGTTGGTCACCTAGGATTTCTAAGTATCTTGTTTCAGTGTGTGAATGCTAGCTAGTTTTGGGGCAAATACACCCAAATTTAAGAGGGAGGCTTGACCCCAAAATGCTGGCAGCACCCAGTGCATCTGAAACATTTGCAATGCTTCTTAGCAGATGCTGTAATCGCAAGATGCAATGAGATTAAACAGAGATGATAAAACATAGGGCAGATTCTGAAAGAGAAAGAACAAAATCTCCCTCCTGCTCTTCTTGATAAAAACCCTATTTATTATAGGATGTGACAGGGAGAACCAAAGATAACGGACTGTTGTCTCCATCTTGGGTACTTGGGGCAGGGGTGGGGGAGGGAAGGCAATGGCACTATGCACTCAGAGGAGAGGACAATGGTGGTGGAGCCGGGTTGGGAGAGATGCGTGAGAATGATGAGCTCAGTTTGGGATATGATGATTTTCAGATTTCTCTGGGACATCTATGTGGAGATGTCTGGAAGGCAATTAGATATGTGGTCTGTAGCTCCAGATAATGTCTGGGGGGCATCAGAATGCAGTGGAAGCAGACTCTATGCAGCTGGTTGAAATCACAACCATGGCAAATGAGAAGAGAACAGGACCTTGAGTGGGGGTCCAAGGAACCCCAATATTGAAAGAATGAGAGGAAGACAAAGACCCCCCCAAAGGAGACAGAAGGAAACGCCAGTGTTCTTGAGCTAATGTGAACATTATTGTCAAAATACTTGCATTTTTCCAGTGCAAATAGAGACACTGAGATAATTTTGTTAATTTGATCTAAGTGCAATACAAATAAATGTCATTTTTGAAGAGCAAGATTTCTGAGGCTTTTTCTTAAATAAATACAAGTACCAATAAACACATGAAAAGTTGTTCAACCTCACTAATGGAGATGCAAGCAAAACCTATAAAATTGAGCTCTGGAGGAGGACACTGTATGTTTATTAACTATATTACTTGGGACTGACAAGGCTGTAATGGAAGAGGTCCTCTTGTCAATGCTGGCAGGACAAACTGGAAAGCAATTTGGCCAAAACCACCAAGTACCACAAAAACCTTTATACCCTTTGGCCCAGCAATTCTATTTTCTGGATTGACTCATATGCAATTAATTAGATTCATGTAAAGGATTTATATAAACATTTATGTGAAAAGATTTCTTCTGCAGCATTATTTATAAAAGCAATAATTTATTTTAAATTTTCAATGCATAATTATATGGGAATAGATCGGGCTACATTCAAGTAAGAGAAGAGTGTGTAATTACTAAAACTAATAATTTGGGGGCGCTTGGGTATCTCAGTCGGTTAAGCGTCCAACTTCGGCTCAGGTCATTATCACACGGTTCGTGGGTTCAAGCCCTGCATCAGGCTCTGTGCTGACGGCTAGCTCAGCGCCTGGAGCCAGTTTCAGATTCTGTACCTCCCTCTCTTTCTGACCCTCTCCTGCTCATGCTCTTTCTCTCTCTCTCTCAGAAATAAATAAAACATTTAAAATAAATAAATAAAATAAAATAAAGCTCATACTTTCGGTAATTAATACTATGATAAAATTTTCAGTATACAATACTAAGCAAAATATGCATGATAATTTCAATATGTTATAAATATACACACAGACAGACACAGTTGAAGAAAATACAAATAACAATAGTGGATATCTAGTGATGACTTAATTACAATTAAATTTTCACTTCCTTCTTTATATGTTTCTATATTTTCTCAATTACCTACAATGCAGAAGGTTGAATATAAAGATTACTGCTTGCAACAACGAAAGTATGTTAATCAATTGCCTTATATTGTTGTAATTGAGAACTCATACTGTTGATAAAAAAAATTATGTAGAATCAAGGGATATTCACAACTGCTAAAACTGATAAATCTTTCTTAATGAGCCAATGACTGGCTAAGAGTTTTGCCAAAGATGCTTGATAAAGAGCTAAGAAAACTATTGAGTAAACTGTTTTATGCAAACATGTATGACTATAAACAAGGTCTTGTCAATTACAATCGCAGATGAAAGACAAAAATGACAAATCTTGTATGTATGTACTAGGTTTCAAACACTTATTATTTTATTACTTTTCAGAGAAGGGAAGTCATTAACTGTCTAAGAGTGATTCAATCTGTTTAAAATTTAGCTTTTAAGTCTTTTCCTATAAAGTCATGCATAAGGAAAAAAAGGTCATTGTTAGATCTTGTATCCCAATTTTTGTTTTTCATAGAACGGAGTCCAAAACAGTACGTAAAAATTAATTTTACAATAAAGTTCACAGCAAAGGTAAGTCAGTGAAGAGAAAAGAAAAGCAGTATAATGAATAATGTTGAGTAAAGTGATCAACGAAATGGGAAAAATTAATTTAGACTCCATCTCATGCCATTCATCAAAGTAAGTTCCAAATAGAAATAAGAGTTAAATGAACCTGTAAGAAGAAAAAACTTTATCTGCTAACTGGAAAAGGATTTAACTTAAAAATATAATCACAAGAGAAAAGATATAGATTGGAACACACATCCTACCTAATAATTGGCCCAAGAACACAAGCAGAGTATTTACCGAAGAAGAAATAAAAATAAGTACTAAAACATGAAACATGTTTAACTTCACTAATATTCGAAGAAATACAAATTAAAACAAGGTGCCAGTTTTAGCCTCAATTAGCAAAGTTATTTCAAAATGACAATACAATTCTAGCTAAATTTATGTGAGAAAAAACAAACACTTTCATTCCTGCTGATTTAGGGTGTAAATTGGTACACTCTTTCTAAAAACTCAATTAGCAACAAATAATGAGCCATAAAACGTTCACACCCTTTGAAATAGTAATCCATTCCCAGGAATCTTGAGACAATCTAAAATGAGGATAAAAATTTATGCATAAAAATGTTTATTATAATGTTATGGGGAATAGTACTGAGGTAAACTAAATAAACTTGGAAATTAAATAAACTTACATAATGGTTTTAGGCTTGCTTAATTAAACTGGTATGCTCAAAGAATTAGTATCACGTTATTAACAATTCTCTTCACAAAAAAAATTTTAATTGTATAGAAATGACTATTATAGGGGCGCCTGAGTGGCTTAGTCGGTTAAGCGTCCGACTTTCGCTTAGGTCATGATCTCGCGGTTCGTGGGTTCGAGCCCCACGTTGGGCTCTGTGCTGACTGCCGGCTCAGAGCCTGGAGCCTGTTTCTGAGTCTATGTCTCCCTCTCTCTCTGACCCTCCCCTGCTCACGCTGTCTCTCTCTCTCTCTCCTAGAAATAAATAAAAATGTTTAAAAAAAAAAAAAGAAAGAAATGACTATTATATAAAATTACATGACAAAATTCACGGGGCGCCTGGATGGCTTAGTCGGTTAAGCGTCCGACTTTCGCTTAGGTCATGATCTCACGGTTCATGGGTTCGAGCCCCGCGTCGGGCTCTGTGCTGACTGACAGCACAGGGCCTGCTTGGGATTCTTTCTCTCTCCCCCTCTCTCTGCCCTTCCCCTGCACACATGCTCATTCTCTCTCTCTCTCCCTCTCTCTCTCTCTTTAAAAATAAATAAAGTTTGGGGCGCCTGGGTGGCTTAGTCGGTTAAGCATCCGACTTTCGCTTAGGTCATGATCTCGCGGTTCATGGGTTCGAGCCCCGCGTCGGGCTCTGTGCTGACTGCCAGCTCAGAGCCTGGAGCCTGTTTCAGTCTGTGACTCCCTCTCTCTCTGACCCTCCCCTCCTCACGCTGTGTGTCTCTCTCTCTCCTAGAAATAAATAAAAAAAAAATATTAAAAAAAAAATTACATGACAAAATTCAAAATTAAATCCATGTAGTACGACATTTAAAAGTTTTACAATAGGGGCTCCTAAAATGGCTCAATTAGGTAAGCATCCAACTCCTGATTTCAGCTCAAGTCATGGTCTCACGGTTTGTGTGTTCAAGTCCCGTGCCTAGCTCCACGGTGACTGACAGCACAGAGCCTGAAGCCTGTTTCAGTCTGTGACTCCCTCTCTCTCTGACCCTCCCCTCCTCACGCTGTGTGTCTCTCTCTCTCCTAGAAATAAATAAAAACATTAAATAAATAAATAAATAAATAAATAAATAAAAGTTTTTTTTAAATGTTATAATACACACACTCATAAAATGTCTATTAACCTTGTTTTATACTATTGTGAGAATATGGCCAGATTCTCACTAAATTTGAAGGGTGTACATGGGGTGATCTGACCTAAAATACAGGCTATGTGGTACACAAACAATTCACTTTGTAGCTGCTAAAGGATTAGGCATTCTCCAGAAAACATTTGGGCATAAACTGTAATTGAACCATTCCACACTTGAACAACTATATAGAGCTGAGTCAAAGGAAGTAAGAGCAGGAATTAACAGTCTTTACCAATTACTGGTCCCTCTGAGCAACAAAGGACTGGCCAGCAAAATATATGTGCATGAGAGCATATGCATGTGCACACAAACATTTTGAAAGCTAGAAAGAAATACCACATAATATTAGCAGCGGTTTTCTGATATTCTAGAATTGTGCCAAGATGGTGGACACTAGACACATGTGGCTATTTCCATTAGAGTAAAATTAAATAAAATTTAAAATTCCTTCCTTTTGTCAAACTAGTCACATTGTTCGAGGGCTCAAGAGCCACATGTAACTAGTGGCTACCATTTTAAACAGCACAGACACAGAACATTTCTATTGTCACACTAAGTTCTTTTGCACAGTGCTGTTCTACAAGATTTCTTATGTTCTTCTTTACACTTTTTCCAAATTTATTACAATATTCATTTGTAGTGGATTCCTCTTAGAAACACGGGGGGAAACACCATGAGAAAAGAAAATGAGGTTAACAAAGCAAACACTCACACTAGAGGTGCAGAGGACACATTCTCTAGAGAAAACCCAGGGAATAAAAATCTGGGGGAAAGCAGAGGACACAGGCACTGTGGAAAGAACAGGAAAGGCTAGAAAGAGACATGGGAATAATAGACATTGCAAGGAAAGGAAAGAAAGGGCACAGAAATTCCAACAGCAGGGGTGGGGAAGGAGGCAGTTACAGCAAGGAACCACAGGGATTCTGGGGATTCTGGGCTCTCCCCACTCACCAGCCATTACAGCTGCTGACCGCTGAGCTGGCTCAAAAGGACATTTCCCTCGGCCACTCTCAAGTCTTTCAACCTGCTGGAAACTGGACACATCCTACAGACCAGAAGGGGGCAATTGGTTTAGGGTCATGAGGGGGTTCATGGTGAGAATTACAAAGATGGTCAGATGAAGGAAAAGTTCAATTTCCATTCATCTCCCATCCATCGACTACTATCCCCATACTCCCAATCTATTCCTGATCCCCCCACCCGCTCTGGCATTTCCCATCTCTGCCATCCCTCTTTTCATCCATTTGCTCCTCTTCCCTCCATTCCCCTAGCTCTAACACCCACATGCCCTGATAAAAGAACACCACAGATGGCCCTAGAAGATGCTAAGAGGCTGAGGGGCAGATCTTTCCTCTGAAATACTAGGATTTGCAACTGGCTGGAAAATATGTGACTGGACAAGAGGCACTAAGGGAAGATAGCAGGTGTCCTGAGGGCTGGAGCTTTTAGGAAGGGCTAAGAATAGTGTAGGCTGATATAAGACCATCTGAAGCAGGGGCTCAGAGAGAAGGGCCATCCTCCCCCTACTCCTACAGAAGGATGAAAGACAAGACCAGAGTCAAGGAAACATAGAAAGGGGGAAGGGAATCTGAGAAGTCAGTAAAGACCTGAAACTCAGGTCAGAACTTGAGGATTTGGCAAGTAACTGCCTTCTTCATCCAGGAATAGAGCAGGACTGATCTAGACAGGGGCGAGAGATGGAAGAGTTCCACCATGAGGAAGCCAGAGGGTACCTCAGCTGAGCATCCAGCACTAAGAAAGCCTTGAAGATAACATCTAAAAATGAAAATCAGGGATGACTTCAACCTAAGACTGGCAGGGAAGTTAACTGTGGCTGCTTAGGCATCAAAGTTATGGGATTGAAAAGCCAGACACAATACCGCTAGTTCACTAGAGAGGGCATACGGTGCTGCTAGAGCCTAACTACACTGATGGTAGTTGGAGAAGGAATGTAGATCTATATCCCCTCATTGTAAGTATACTACTGGCCTGTTCTGACGCTCATCTATTTGCTACAGTTAGCCAACAAGGTTTTACTTTACTGGGAGAGCCTTGAAGAAGGCCTGTTAAAACCAGATGTGATCTAAGATCTCCAAAAAGGGACCACTGGGTCAAGAAAGTCTTCTGCAGTGAGGGACCCCACAAGGGCACAAGCATCTCACATGTGAGGCAGTAGTAGCAGCCTCGCCTGAGAAAAATGATGGATGACAGTGAGAGATTACCAAGATGTCTGGGTATTTTGGATAAAGGTTAATACATGCCTCTGTGGCCCATCCTACCTCTCACCTAAACTACAGCAGTAACCTCCACTCCACACTGCCTAGCCTTGCCCCCAATTTACTCTACATACCAAGATCAATATTCCTAGAATAGCAGTAACTGCCTTGATAAGTTTTTGAGCAAGGGAGTGACAAAATGGCTCACCAGCGCCTAGAGTACAAACTCTTTAGCCGAAATTACTTACTTTCTAATACCTCTCAAAATGAACACTTTCTTTTAGCCAAACCTGGGTCACTTGTTATTCCTAGAACACAAATTGTTTTCTCATCCTTATGCTGAAAATTACTCTCTACATTTCACCAAGGACTCCTTTTCTCAGTGCTCACCCTCCTCATCTTTAGGCTGCATTTGATATTTTTGACTCACTCCCTCCTTCAAATATTCTTTTTTTTTTTTAATGTTTTATTTATTTCTAGGGGAGAGAGAGGGAGAGAGACAGCGCGAGCAGGGGAGGGTCAGAGAGAGGGAGACACAGATTCTGAAGCAGGCTCCAGGCTCTGGGCTGGCAGTCAGCACAGGGCCCGACACGGGGCTCGAACCCACGAACCGCGAGATCATGACCCAAGCGAAAGTCGGACGCTCAACCGACTAAGCCACACAGGCGCCCCATTTTTTTTTTAATGTTTTATTCATTTCTGAGAGAAAGAGAGACAGCCAGCATGAGCAAGGGAAGGTCAGAGAGAGAGAGACACACACACACACACACACAGAATCTGAAACAGGCTCCAGGCTCTGAGCTGGCTGTCAGCACAGAGCCCCACATGGGGCTCGAACCCACGAACCGTGAGATCATGACCCGAGCCGAAGTCAGACGCTTAACCGACTGAGCCATCCAGGCGCCCCTCCTTCAAATATTCTGTTTTGATTCTCTTGGAAGTCTACCATCCTTCTCCTATCTAATTGTTGTTTCTCTATCTCCTTTGGTAGTTTCTACTTTCCTTTCTAGTCCTTAACTGTGTATCATAAGGATCTATCCTTCATCTTTGTCACATATATTTCAATGACCTCACTCATTCTTACATTTCCAGCTAGACTTTCTATGCAAATTATTGCCCAAATTCTCTGAAAGTCTGATGCCTTCCAATCTCTAGTTTGTGTTGGCACTTGACTGCTGGACTTCCTCACAGAGATGGTCTATCAGCCCCTTAACTCGGTATGTTTTACTGAAGTATGAAATGACGCCTCTCCAGTTTCCCCAGATGGCATCATTGTGTTATCTGGGTTTGTAATCTTTCAGCAAGTGAGGCTCCTATTAACTAGATAGGTTATGTTTACTGTCTTATCAAAGTGACATTTAATCAGGGTCTGAAGGGGGCAAGACCACTCCACCACAGTCTCTGAGTGTTGAGATTCCTCACTGTACCATCAGTTGTGGCCGATGCAAGTCTCGTTGGCTGAAAGACAGCTAGGTAGGGAGGCTCTCACCCAGCTGTAGGGTTGAAATCCAGGCTCTGTCTTTGGCCAAGAAGGATGTGAGACATATAAAGGACCCTCTCCAGGCGGTTAGAGGGAAAACAAAAGAAAAGATGGCCCCTGTTACATGAAACAGGTCAAATGTCACAAGATACTGAAACCAGATAAGGTCTTCTGTGCTGCAGGCTGGACTAGAGGGACAGAGTGATGGGGCAGAACCAGACACACCTGGATTTAAATCCTGGCTCTTCCACTGCTACTAACATAATACTAGACACGGTACCTAACTTTTTGGAAATTTCCTTGCTTGTAAAATGGAAATAAATAATACCTAAATATCATAGAGTGTGGTGATAAGAACTAAACTCAATCTTGAATGTAAAGTACCTAACACCAGCCTGGGACAGAGTACATACTCAAGTGAGTGAGAAGTCTTGCCATTGCTATTATTAAGTCTAGCATTTTTCTCTGTTAACTTCTGGAATTTTCTCAACGAAGCAAACTAAAATATTTTCCTCCAGGGGTGCTTAGGTGGCTCAGTCAGTTAGGCATCTGACTTGGCTTGGGTCATAATCTCATGGTTCATGGGTTCAAACCCTGCATCGGGCTCTCCACTCTCAGGGCAGAGCCCACTTCAGATCCTCTGTGTCCCTCTCTCTGTGCCCCTGCCCCGCTCATGTGTACTCGCTCGCTCGCTCGCTCTCTCTCTCTCTCCCTCTCCCCCTCTCTCAAAAATAAATAAGAAGTTTAAAAAATATATTTTCCTCCAATGTCTGATGAGCTGTCACTGCATGGCAGCCTCCACTTTTGGATAGAGCTGGTAGGTCCAGTGCTTGGACTTCCTTTGTAAGAACCTTCATTTCTCTGAGCAATCAACTCTGAGTGCATTGCTGTGTCTGGATCAGTTAGTCAAAGCTCTCACATAATAGTTATACATAGTCTCAAAGTCATCAGTCTGGGACGTGAGACTTTAGCACTAAGGACTGAGGCAAGAGCTTGCTTACGCAGGCAGGAGTTGCCAGGTAGCAGGATAAGACATTAAAAGCAGAAGAGAACTTTCAGGAAGTCTAGAGGGCAGTCTTAGTATATGGCTTGAAGAGTTAACACAGCTGACTTCTGGGGGTAGGAGGCTTGTGTCCTATATTCTCCAAAAACAAGTCTTGACCAAAGGGTGCTCCTTCATTTCATATGCCTGCTAGATGGGGGCATTCAGAGAAGGAGCTGAAAGTCATGGGAGTGCAGGACACAGAACCCTGGCTTTACTCTGGTTACTGATTTTCTCAGGAGTAGATAGAAGTCCAAGTCACACCAATCCTGACAGGACGTACAGAACATTTTATGTCTAGATTCTTAGATTCTAACAACCATTGGGGTCCCCTCAGAGAGCCGAGGAAGAACAGAAGGCCCCGGGAAACTAACCTGGAGTGATCATATGGCCTATAAGGCATGGTGCTGGTATTCATACCCTTGGGTTCTCCAAGTGTGTGTAGACTAGAAAAAGACAAATATGACAATGGCAGTTCCACACTACTTTCTGAGCTTTGTGAGAACTGTAGGGAAGCTATGCCCTCAACATTACTTGATGGGATATAGAGATTCTCAATACCACCCTGACCTGGAAACCTTCCCAAGATGAGGAAGCTATGCACACCCTGGGTGGAAAGTCTTTCATCTACTTTATGAGAAGGACTCACAATAAGCCCAACTAACCTCAGGTCTAGCCCAGAGGGACTGACTGGGGCAATCAAGCATATACAGCATAGTACTGGAAACCAGACTCTTCAGCAAGAAGAGGTTTGGAGTTTCACACGGATAAGATCCAAGTAGCAAGGAATACCACAGTTTGCAGAAGGGTCAAGTCAAAATCTGCAGCTAAGGATCAGGGTCAGGAGAGAGAGAGAGAGAGAGAAAGAGAGAGTCGTTGTACTCCCTTCTTTTGCTTCTTGGAGCAGAGAGGAAAGCCACTGAACACAAAGAACAGGGGAGGTTTCTGACTCATCCCGGCTGTTGTCACAAGTGTGTGCTGGCAGAGGACCAATAACTGACTATTGGATAACTGATGGGAAAAGCCGAGGGTTCAAAAGCATTAAGACCTTCCTGAGATGCCACCAGTCCCAGTAACTTTAGAAGCCATGTTTAGCTAGATATGATTAGGGGTGTACATGTACCAAGCCTGCCTGAGTGTGAGAGTGGAGATGCCCAAGGCTCCGGCAGCAATGAACAGGACCTAGAAGAAAAGACGGCTGACAAATGACAAAGTGCCCGCTTTGAAGGCAAGATCCAGACTACAGGGCCTGCAAGTACTACATTAGTGGGCAGCGACCTCAAAAGCCATGAGAGCAGAGGGTCACAGCCTGCACAGGATGAAGTCAGCAGTGGGGGTGGGAGAAGGTGGTAAGCGAGAGTCACACGCCTTGGGAGGAAGGAGCAGCCAAGGATTGTGCTGATTAAGAAATGGATCTAGGCTGCTGGGACAAAGCATACTCAGGGCAAAGGAAATATGAGATACTGGCCTCTGAAGTCTCTCCTGAATTTATCCTCTCTGTAGCCTAGCTAGCATTCCTAATTTCCTTCACTGTCCCTCTTCTCTCCTCACACTCTATGTACCTCACCTTCTGCAGACAACCTCCCTCCACCTCCCTCTCCTATGCCCCTTTCGTGACAGACAAAGTCTCCACCCTGCAAAGACATCCCTCACCCCCAATGCTTTTCATGCACAAGTGTTACTTCAAGCATGCCCCCTGTCATGGTCACTCACAGAAGACCCTTCCCATCCTCCCACCCATCACTCACAATAACCCCGCACTTCGGATCAAAAGCGAAGGTGCCACAAGTGAGGAGGTGAGAGGCATTGGCAATGGCGAGTATCTGGACAAAATTGTGACATTCGTCCTGGGGGTCAGAGATGATTAGAGAGAATCAGAAGCAGCAGGTACAAGGAAAGGCAGGGTAGTGTCAGGACAGTTAGATGGAGCTCTGGGATCAGAGATGACAGGTGATGACATGGTGTGAGAGCCCCTGCCTGGGCCCACTGAGATGGGAGCAATGCAGGGGACAGACACAGAGCCAGGGCTGGAACCAGGTCTCAGTGGGACCCTTGGGACAGGGCCAGGGTTCACACCTACCTCCTTCTTGCCTTTCTTCCTACAGTTCTGTCTGTGGGCCTCAGGCACCATCCAGTCAATCTGAGAAAGGAGGAGTGACTGTTTCTCCCAGATTCTCCCCCAAACTCTTCCCAAGTCAGAGTAGGTGAAACAGTTCCCTGACCTCCATCAATTTGAGAACTTCAGAGACAACCCTCGCCCCTTTAGTCAGAGCATTATTTTTCAAACTGGAGGTCTCCACCCATTAATGAGTAATGAAATCAATTGTTTTTATTTTTAATGACATAGAATGTATCACATATAGGAGACTAGATACTGTTTCAAGAATGTGTTCTTTAAATACACACTTCCTGCACTGGGTCAAAATGTACCATATATTTCTCACTTAGGGATGGTCAAAAGAAGTTTGAAGGCTATTGCCCTAAAGAAGTGCAATTCTAATGATTCCTCTGCCCACTGTCACCTGAAACCTGGTCACTGTGGCCTCCTCCCTCATTAACCTCCCTCATAACATCCCCAGTCACCATGACCCCCCTCCATCACCCGTAGCTGACATAATGAAGTCAATATTCTTCCTATATTCATTTTCACCAACATCCCCCTGCCACCACCAACACTGTTACATATTTAGTAATTATGAACACACAACCCATCTCATAAAACTGTGGATCTAACCACATGCTCTGGGGTCTGGGGTCCTCCCCACTTTCATTTCTCACCCTGCGGGGCCTCTCCCCTGAGAAGGGCAGGGATAAAGCGAAGACGGTGTCCCGGGCGCCGACATAAAGTGTATGGGAAGCAGGATCCACAAGGAGGACAGAGTAATTGTATGTCTGAGGGACGGTGAACCGGGTGAGATAGGAGTCAGCCTCTGGCAGGAAGAGAGGGTGAGAGGGGAGAGTGATATCAGCCATTGCTCATAAGGGTTAGGTCCACAAGGGCAAAGCCAAAGGGCTCAATTTCTGTTTCTTCCAGGTATCATTTACTTAGCAGCCATAAGGGGTAAAAACAGAGCTTTGACAGGCCAACCATCTAATCTCCCCAAAGACAGATAACTGATGAGGCCAGAATATTTAGCACACAATGGAGTCAAGTATGTTTTTTTTCTATAAAAATAGAATACTTTATTAAAATAACAGCATAAATATTAAGTCTGTACTTTCTATCCACAGCAACATGATACACAATTTGAAAATACCTATAGGAGGTACAAGTACCTTCTTCTCTAAATTTCCTTTTTTTAATTATTATTACTTATTAGTAACTTCTTCTCACTTAGAAAGGCAACGATTCACTCCTTCACCAGCACTTAAGGAGACTATCTCCTGTCTTCCCACTGCTCTTGTCCTCCCCAACCCCACCCCATTTCCACCCAAAGAGGTAAAGAGTGGGCATGAGTATGTGCTTTGGAGAAGGATCAGCACCAGTTTAAATGTGGCTCTTTCACTTACCGGCTGTACGATCTTGAGTAAGTGATTTGCCCTGAGAATCACCTTCCTCATCTATAAACACCACCAATCAGGCTTGTTGACAATTAAATGTTATAACATATGTGGAAGCAACTGACATATACTGCATGTTTCACAAACGGTTCCTCTCTTCCTTCCTTAGGCATGTGCTCCATTTGGGCCAAGTCTAAACTTCAATATCATCATTCAAAACTCCATTTAAAGATTACAACCAATAAGTTAGCATGAATTTACCTTCCTTAGCTCACTCTGAAGTCCTTATCCTTGCACCAATACAGCTCTGCTCTACCTGCTTCATCTGCTCAGCTACCCTCAAGACTTGACAGAATGGCTACCAGCCATTCATTCCCGGATGTGCTGATGTATGGAGGCCCACCCACCCCATCCTCCCACACCCATACGCAAATCTGTGCTGGACCTGCCTACTCTCTCACGCTCATTATAAGCGCTGGAACACCCAACCTCCACTTGTATCCCAAACTTTGTTTTACCTTGCTATCGAGACTTCTCTAAATTTCTGGTTACCAACCCACCTTGCAACTTCAGTTCTGTTTTGTGGCTATTGCTCCGGCACAAACAAACCCGAGGCTCTGACCACAACTTCGTCCTTTGAATTCAAAGCAACACTATGTCACTAGGCTAAAGTTTAGACTCTAAATTACTATTACCCTGTTCTGAGGTTTTGCCAACAGGTTGTCCTCTCAGCTTCATTGGTCTGTCTTTACAAAGTGCTAACACTCAGTGCCCACTGAGAAGAAAATGAGATGCACAGCCATGCCCATGCCCACCTCAGCAGAGAGCCTTTAAAGTGTGAATCATTCCCATTTTTAATCTGGTGGCATCCCTTGGCATCCCTTCTTCCACATCATTTCAAAGGACCAAATCTCCTTCCTCCTTTTCTTTTTTTTCCTTCTGAAGACTTTAGAAAGCATTTAAACAGAACTTTAAATCAACTCACTTAATGGTTTCCCAACCTTCAATATAGGGAATGGGTAAAGAAAGCACGGAATGCTGAGGGGTTAAGAGGGTTAAGATGAACCCATGGATCGTGTATCGGAGAACGGGAGTTGGTGTTAGAGCTGTGAGAGGCCTGGGAAGTGGGTGCGGGAGACGAGGGCTTTAAGCAGGGCAAAAAGCCTGCAGGGAGGTAGAAATGATAAGAGAATGGATTTGAGGAGCGGGCAGATTGGAAATGCGGAGCTGGTCATCAGAAGAATGGGTGGCTGGAGTAGAAGGAAAGACCAATGAGTCTGGAAGCAGAATGGGCATCAAGCTGGCGTAAGGGACACAGGTGTATGTTCGGGAAGAGGGGGAGAAGGGAGAGGGAACCCCGAAATGGACGACCTCGGAAACCTCCATCCCCTCCCTGGGCCTCAGTGCTCGCTTCTGCACGATGGGGGGCTTAACTCTCTCGCGGTTCTGCCAGTAAGGGGCAGCAAGAGCCACCTGGGCGTGTCGTGGGAGCCGAAGCGCGAGGCCGGAAAGCGATGCAGCGGAACAGCACCGCGTGCGGTGTCCCGCGTGGGTCCCGGAGGGGCGTGGGCGGCGCGGGGCTCGGTGCGCCGCGCGGAGGGACCCCAGAGCGCCTGCCCACGTTGGTAGAGAAGGGCAGGTGGGGGCCGGCACCTGCAGGCGGGACCCGGGCGCGGCGCGAAGGGCTGAGGGCGAGGGCACCCACGCCTTACCGGAGATAGGAAGCGAGGTCCTGGGAACCGAGCGGGGGACGCGGCCGGATACCGGGCCGCTCAGCACCGCCAGCAGCAGCAGCGGGAAGGGCGAGGCCGGAGGCGGCTGGGGGCCCGGGCGGGGCCGCCTGGCAGAAGCCAGCATCTTAGGCTCCGCCTGGCCGCTGGGTGGGGCGCGCCCTGCCACCTCAGCTTTGGGCCGCGGTGCCACCGGCCTCGGCCCTACTCGGATCTCCTCGGTCCGGTTCGGCCTGCGTCGGCGAGACAAGAACGCAACCCAGCTCCGCCTCTTCAAGAAGGGACTAATGGTCGAGCCGATTTCCTCCTCCAGCCAATCGGGGTTGGGTGGAGGCGGAGCTAAGGAGAGGAGAAGCCCAACCCAGGTACAGGAGGAGCTAGACCTAGGTCTAGGCGGGAGTGCTACCTCGGAACCGGGCTGTGGCTGGCTCCAGGTCCTCCAATGGCTGGTTTGCTTAGTGGGCTCCAAAAGCTTATATGCCCCCATCTGTACTACCAGGGGAAATATGTGTCTAAATGGGTAAATACACCAAATTTCTCAAAATTATTGTTTTAGCAAGCATTTAACAAATAACTGAAAATAGATCATTGCAAGGCAACGTGACTTCTGTTTGCTGTAAAAATGTGCAATAAATGCTCAGAAAAGTTGTTTTGCCTGAGCAAATCAGTGAGGTTTCGCAGAAATGACGTTTGAACTGAGTGGTCAAGGATAAGTAGTAGGGTGGGGCGCCTGGGTGGCTTAAGCGTCCGACTTTCGCTTAGGTCATGATCTCGCGGTTCGTGGGTTCGAGCCCCGCGTCGGGCTCTGTGCTGACTGCCAGCTCGGAGCCTGGAGCCTGTTTCAGTCTGTGACTCCCTCTCTCTCTGACCCTCCCCTGTTCACGCTGTCTCTCTGTCTCCTAGAAATAAATAAAACATTTTTAAAAATTAAAAAAAAAAGAAAAGGATAAAAGGTTTAAAAAAAAAACTATAAAAAAAAAAAGGATAAGTAGTAGGGCTTTGAGAGCAAGGGGGGCAAACACTACTTATGGATCTGCCCACTAGGAAATCCTGCATACAAGACAAACACAGGACCTGAAAATAACTCACTGTCTCCATCATCCCACCCTCTCTGCTCCTTCCTCAATCACTTAGTCCTCCAATTTATAGCCTTGCAGGTAATCTTTGCTTTCTTCTCTTATATTCCCCATTGCTTAGTTATCTAGGCTGCATAACAGATGTAACAAATTTACATCAAAATTTAATGGCTTAAAACAACAATAAACTTTTATTATCTCTATGTGTCAGGAATTCAGGAGTAGTTTAGCTGGGTTGTCTAGCTCCCAGTCTCTCATGAGTTTATACTCATAATATTGGATGGGGCTACAGTCATCTGAATGTTTGACTAAAGTTGGAGGATCCACTTCCAGGATGGCTTAATCCATGCCTGGCAAGTTGATGCTCGCTATTGGTAGTAAGTCTCAATTCCTTTCCATATAGACCCCTCCATGAGTTGCTGGAATGTCCTCACAATATAGTATTACTTCTTTAGAGCAATTAATCCCAAAAAGCAAGGTGAAAGCCACAATGTCTCTTATAATCTAGCCTCAGAAGTAAAAATATAATAACTTCTGCCATATTCTGTTGATCACCCAGACCAATCCTCATGCACTGTGGGAAGGGGACAACACAAGGGTGGAATACAGAATTTCAGAGGACCATCCTAGAGGTTGGCTACCACATTCAAATGTAAGCAGTCATCTTGTCCTGATAACTTACATTTATTAATCATAAATAACTTAAATTTGTCCTTTTCTTTCCCTTATCATCATAATTCCATTATCATCATCATTATTATTGCTCATCTAGACTATGCAATAGTTTCATTAAAAAAAAAAAAAAAAAAACAACCTGCCTCCAATCTCTCCCTTTCCAGATTATCATCAGGGTAATCTCTCTAAAGTACAAATTCTGTTTTATTTATTCAATACTTATTGAGGACCTACTATGTGCTAGGCATTTTATTAAGTAATATAGATAAAGATTATTAAAATATGGTTCCTGCTGCCTTGCTTTGACAGCACATATACTAAAATTAGAATGATATGGAGATTAGCATTGTCCCTGCACAAGGGCGATATGCGAAACATGGATCCTGGATTCAAATTCCTTAGTCTAGAAGGGAAAATAGACACTGAAGACTGATACTTCACATCTTCTCTCTGAAGCTTTTTTTCTAACACACCAGCTTCAACACAATAGGAGCCTCCTCTGTGCTACTTCCTTTGACACCGATATATGCCTCTCCCTAGCTGCTCCTCAGCAATCTAACTTAGACCTTAGTCCCCTCTCTGAATATGATTTAAATATTGATCTTTTGTCTTTTGTTTGTTTTCAAATATCTCTTTCAATCTTTTTGGCAGCAACATACAATAAGATGTTCTTTTTTACATTGCAACCTAGTCAAATACTTTTGTAGTGGTGAAATAAACTTTCACAAAGTCATATTTACACTATATTTCTTTAGTTCAGGAGCTAAACCCTGATATTTTCTATGGAATTTCATTTTATCTTATTTTTTTAAATGCTGGTTGCAGCCCACTAAATTGATTTTACTACCTATTAATAGATTGAGATCCCTGCTTTGAGAAAAATCACTATTCTAAGCTGTCTGTTTTATACTAACTTAATCAATGTCTATACCTTAAATCTACGTCTCCGATTCATATTGTTCTCTTTAGTTTCTGACACATATATCGAACTGCCTATTGAACATCTCCACTCAGTGTCCTACAGGCACCTTGCTTTCAACATGTCCAAAAACAGAACTGTCATCCTCACTCCCACACCAGCCTGGGTAACTGGGTAAGGTGGTAGAACCAATATTTCTTATATCTGTATATAACACCACTATCTTTCCAGTTATCCAAGCCAGGAAAGTTCTATTCATTATTCAATAAGTATTTGCTGAATGCTTTCTATGTTCTAGGCTCTGTCATTCTGGATTCCTTCTAATCGATCCAATTACTCATGAAGACCTATTCATTTTAACTCCTAAATATCTCCTCCACATCTCTGCATCCCCCTACTAACACCCTTATTCAAGCCACCATCATCTCTTGCCTGGGCTACTTCTTAGGCCTGTCCTGCTTCCACCACTACCTGCTACCAGCCACTACCACCTCAATTCCAGCCCCCAATCTATTTCTCTCAGGACAGATAGAATGTTCTCTCCATGACACAAATCAGATCACTCCTCTGCTTAAAACATGTCAGTCCAGCTCCTCACCATACCTTCGCTATGGGATGAAATACAAAATCCTTTATATAGTTCACAGGACCTTTTATATTTTGTCCTCTTGCCTACCTCTTCTACGTACTATGCTCTGGACTGGTTGAGCCTCTTCAGAATTCCCTCTGCATGAAATGTTCCCCGTGTGCCTTACTTGGCTAACTCCTATTCACTCTCTTGATTAAACTCAGAATGATAATCCCATTCTCTAGGAAGCATGCCCAATTCTCCAAGTCTGTGCTTTTCCTGTATGTTCCCTTAACATTGTACTTCCCTCGCCATAGCCCATATCACACCACATTGCCCATTGCCTAAGTACTTGTGTGTCCCCCATAGACTTTAAGCTCTAGGAGGGCAAAGATTTAGTTGTATTCTCAGATCCTAGTGCAGTGTCTGGTATATAGTAGGCAGTCAACAAATATTTGGTGAATGCTTTTTGTCTTTATTGGTGTTTATTATATTGTCTGAAATTACTTGTTCAAATATTCATGAGTCAGTCTAGGTCCTCCGAGAAGCAGACATTAAGGTGAGATTAAATGTACAAGGAGGGGCGCCTGGGTGGCTTAGTCGGTTAAGCGTCCGACTTTCGCTTACGTCATGATCTCGCGGTTCGTGGGTTCGGGCCCCGCGTCGGGCTCTGTGCTGACTGCCAGCTCAGAGCCTGGAGCCTGTTTCAGAGTCTGTGACTCCCTCTCTCTCTGACCCTCCCCTGCTAACGCTGTCTCTCTCTCTCTCCTAGAAATAAATAAAACATTTTAAAAAAATAAATAAATAAAAAATAAATGTACAAGGAATTTAGCAGGGGAAACACCTGTGAGGGAAAAAGGAAAGGGCTGGAAAAGGCTTCAAGAGCAGTCAGATGTGATTCAAGTCTGACCCTAAGTGAAGAAGAGAGGGAATGAAACATCCTATGTCTCCCAGGATCAAGTCGGCCTTAGTACCCCCACCACAGTCATTGGCTAGGAACAGCTTGTGGTCTTCACAAATATGGCAGTGGATTTCTAAGGCAGTATTTGATGACTTTCATCAGTTGCCCTCCCTGTAGTTTGAAATATGCAGGTTGCTTTCTTGGCAGTTTGTCACCCTCAGACTTTAGTAGGATCTTGGGGAAATCACGTCATATTCCCCCAGGTCTAATGCAGTCTTTGGCACATTATCCAATAAATGCTACACCAGATAGATAAAACAGTTTATAGAGAAACAGAGAAATTTATTGTAGCTAGGAGCAACAGGTGATGTGATTTGCAATTAGGGCAAGGAGAATTGAGCCTGATAAGGCAAGTGGGTCAGTCATAACAGCCTTTGTGACCAAAACAAGACAAACAAACAAACAGAAACAAAAACAAAACAATTTTAAGTCAAAGAATGGTGTGATCAAATATATTTTTACTAGGATAATTATAGCATCAGTGTATGGAATAATCTGGAAGTTAAAGACAGGGAGACTAATTTGGAGTATGTGAGAAAGAGGACATGTTGAGAAGCTACACTTTATATTGAAATACAGGAAGTCTGTTGATCAGATTACACCTGGGAGCCTGGATTAAGTATTTCTGGTTTTACTCTGAGGAACAGATGAGGGGAGCAATAATTGGTGTTGTAGTGCTAAAACATAGGCAGGTGGCTCTTTTCCTATTGGTTCTAACTTGTCCTGAATCACTCATTGGTAAAGTGATTTCCCCCCCAACCTACATAGCAGGCAATGAACTGAGCGAGAGGTGGGGGGAGATGACAATACTAAAGAGAAACAGGAGAAAGCGCTTGTTCATTTCTGATTTGGTACTAGCATTAGTTTTTCCTCTCCTGTGGGCTAATTTAGAGAATTACCCTTCAACCAGGGTTGAAGACCTGGACCAGCCAAATGATCCTATCTCAACTGGATTTTGTCAAAGTGACTATATGAATCATCAGCAAGCAAATGGGAATGAGCATGAGTAAAGAGGGGCAGACCCTTTTGGAATATAGAGGTTTGAAGACGTGAAAGAACTTGTTGAAGGTAGACTAAACGAACTTCCATGAGGGCAGGGACCATTGTGTATCCAATGTACCCCAATCCTAGCACAGTGCCTGGCATAGAATGTGCCCTCAACAAATATTTATTGAATAAAAGAGTGACCAACTGAATGTGTAGAAGAGAAAGGTTAAAGCTAAGGGACACAATGGGGGGTGCCTCCCCGGAATGTTTCATGAGGGGGTATTATTGGAATGTTTAATTGCGGGTGGCGGTTAGCTACCGAAGAAGTGGTACGTTTAGCATGATATTCTCAAGAGAGCTCCAAAACTCTACCTCAGGGCCAAAATAGGGCCATTTCCCTGGTGCCCAAGGACTCAGGAGATCGAGGCCCTGAGGTAGACCCAGAAACGGCCCATGAAGCTGCGCGCGCAGCGAGGAATCCCGCGCAGCCGCCTTCTGAGGGACGCGGGCGCCTTCGGCGGCGCAAGCGCACTCGGAGAGCATAAACGAGCAGGTAATGGATTCTTTGCGTTCCCAAAGAAATGGGGGAACACCCGCACTTTCTCCAGGCCTCCGGGCAGGTGGAGGGCTGAGGGCCTCAGCTGGAGGACGGCCCCGAGCCAGCACGGCCTGCAGCGCCTCACAGGGTGGGCTTGGGCCGAACTCGGGCCGCCCTCAGGTCGGTGTTGGCGGACCATGCCTGGGCAACACGCCCACAGGTCCTCAGGCACCGCGGCTCCTCGTCCCTCTGCGCACGTGTCTGAGGACCCTGACGCCGCGTGTCCTCGGCGGCCTCTCCCGGCCCAGGGGCTGGGCCGTCAGTCCTCCAGACACTGTGCGGTGCCTAGGGCCCTCAACGCTTTGAGGGGGCCTGCGATGGTGTTCTAACTTCTAACTTGGAGAATGAAAAAAAAACCAATGTCCTCTTAGGGTCAAAGAACATGTTTTGATTTTTCTTTTTTTTTAATTTTTAATGTTTTATTTATTTCTGAGAGAGAGAGACAGCGTGAGCAGGGGAGGGTCAGAGAGAGAGGAAGATACAGAATCTGAAGTAGGCTCCACGCTCTGAGCTGTCAGCACAGAGCCCGTCGCGGGGCTCGAACCCACGAACCCCGAGATCATGACCTGAGCCAAAGTCGGATGCTTAAACCAGGCGCCCCTGATTTTTATTTTCTTTTTTTTAATGAGGAAGGGGCTCACGAAGGCAAAAGTGCTTAGGATCCATGAAATTTTTAATGCAGCCTTGCGGGAGGAAGAACCATTAAGTCGTTTATCACGCACAGTGTTCCAAGGGCTATAAAGACATGGTATCGTGCTTTTGTGAAGGCACGTAAAGAGGCCCTAACATATTAAGATCTAAAGCCTGAGACCTAAAGAATGAGCAAAGTTAAGGAGGGTAGTAATGGAAAAGAACGTTCAGCAGCCACAGGAGCCACAATGAAAGGCCCAAGCGTTTGTGGACCGAAAAGTCGCCTCGGAGACAGAGTAGGGTGGGAGGGGGTTGGGCAGAAGATAGCGTGGCGGGAGGATGGAGAATTGGGAAGGAGTTACATGCAGAACTTCCGGGCCGGGATAAGGATTTGGGATTTTGTTCTAAATGTAATTGGAAGCCATTGAAGAGTTTTAGTAAGGGAGTAATTTGGTGCTTTTGATGGTTCAAGGCCGAGTTCCAGGTTAAACCAGTTTGCAGGGAGACCCCGATAAGTAGGTGTTTTGACAAAAGTGGAGAGTATAGGACCATCAAAAATGGTCAGATCCTGCTTAGAACTATGCCCAGATGCATTGATCATGTTTGAAAATATAGAGAAGAGAGCTGCCTCTTACCTCATGTAGAGTACAGTCTTGGAATTGCAAAAAAATGACTGTGCAAGCTGAAACCATTCAAAGTAATCTTAATCATCAATAGGAAAAAATTAAATTAGTTCCAGGACCTCTCAAAGTTGTCGGAATGTTAAAATGTCTCTTACCATCAGCTCTAAATGGGAAATGAAAAATAGTAAAGCTGATATCTATTTAGCACACTGTAATTTAAAACATTAGAAACCCAAAGAAATATCAGTCTTCTATTTCTTTGTAAAAAACCTAATCAAGAATAGTTTGAACAGTACTTGTGCTTGTCTTCTCATGGTATAACTTACGATCAAAGGTGCATCTTCTCTATGCCTTAGCTTTTTTTTTTTTAATGTTTTATTTATTTCTAGGAGAGAGAGAGACAGCGTGAGCAGGAGAGGGTCAGAGAGAGAGGGAGTCACAGACTCTGAAACAGGCTCCAGGCTCTGAGCTGGCAGTCAGCACAGAGCCCGACGCGGGGCTCGAACCCACGAACCGTGAGATCATGACCTAAGCGAAAGTCGGACGCCTAACCGACTAAGCCACCCAGGCGCCCCTTCTCTATGCCTTAGCTAATTGTCATACTCCTTTCTATGTTTGGATCAACTTCCAACATTATATCCTTTGGTCTTTCAAAGGATCTCCAAGAGATCCTTTAATATGAAGTTTTTGCTAGTGGCACTCTAGTTAGCTAGTTAGCTTCACCTTTGCTAAGACCATTTAG